AAGAGACTCAGTTCCTCCAGCCTGTCAGTGTGGGACACTCCCTTCAGACGGAAGAGACTCAGTTCCTCCAGCCTGTCAGTGTGGAACACTCCCTTCAGACTAAAGAGACTCAGTTCCTCCAGCCTGTCAGTGTGGGACACTTCCTTCAGACTAAAGAGACTCAGTTCCTCCAGCCTTTCAGTGTGGGACACTCCCTTCAGACTGAAGAGACTCAGTTCCTCCGGCCTGAGTGTGAGACACAGACTGAAGAGACTCAGTTGCTCCAGCCTGACAATGTGGGACACTCCCTTCAGACTGAAGAGACTCAGTTCCTCCGGCCTGAGTGTGAGACACAGACTGAAGAGACTCAGTTCCTCCAGCCTGAGTGTGGGACACACAGACTAAAGAGACTCACCTCATGAAGAGCAGCAAAGTCTCTTTTGTGTTGTCCAGTGTCCACACTATACTTTGGGACTGCTGCACTACAAGGTAGCTCAGTGTTCACTGTTCCACCATTAGTTTTCCACAAAGGGTTGCGTTTTACCTTACTGGCACTGTCCAGGCTGGGCCAACAGGGGGCGCTGTAGGCTGGGGTGATACAGCAGTGGGAGAGAGGAGAGAGTAAACTGTAAGTTTCATAACACTGCTCCATAATCATTAACACACCACAGTCAGAGAGGCACGATACTGCATATATACACACACAAATACTCACACACAAACACAATGATAATCAACTTTATTTTATATAGCACCTTACAAACACTTACACACACACAAGCACATATACACTAACACATCAACACACACAGACATTCACACGCTCACTCACACACTCACACAGACACACCTGCACGCACACACCGCTGGTACCTGTCTGTGTGTCTGCTGCACTGCTCTCTGCGGGGAAGACAGATGGGCTCTTCGCTGGCCACTGGGGCGAGACAGGCTGAGATAGAGAGGAGACAGAGGGAGACTCAGCAACTGGACACCGCTGGACACTGAAGAACACCGCCCACTGCCCTCCTGACACCCCGAGAGTCCACTGTTTGAGTCACACTGCATATCAGTTAGCTGGTCCGGTGGTTCAGGTCCAGTCCTGTT